TTGGAATCGACTTGACAGCAACAGGTTTTTTTGGCTTTTATTCTACTTAAAGTGGATATCATGTTTGCTTAAAGAAGAAAGTAAAAAACAAAAACACCACCACCAACAAAAAAGAAATCCACACTCTGAAGGATGTCATTTAAAACTCTTCACAATTCATCGATAATCCAACTTTTGGACTGCTTTTCTATGTTCTTATGCAGCAACCATATGCCATCAACTTGCACACCAAATATAGCTTATTCCTTAAACTTCGAATGTCTCAATTTCTTGTAATCTCGTACATTAAAATCCTAGTTTAAATCCTAACCCAAACTACTCCTCTTCCTTGACATCTCACCTTGTCTTCCTATTTGGAATCGATCTCTCCTTTCTCTGCATTCCTTTCACACTCTGCTCATTCACTTATTCAATTACTTGCCCATTCTGGCTTATCCCAGAGGCTGGTATGCAGGTGCCTTCTCCCACATGAGAGTATAATCACTTTGAACTCCTGCACTACATTGCGCTTTCCTTTATTTTCCCAAAAAGCCTAACACAGTGGTTGAATGAGTAAATTCGAGAATGAGCTAATTAATCCACATTTAAGGAATGAATCTATGTTGTGTGAATAAATGAGTAAATGCAGGTTTTTTTAGGTCGCACATAAAATCCATTTTTCCAGGCATTTCAACCTGAATAAGTCTTCAGGATTAAAGTTGAACAGCCTTACAACCATAGATTTTGCCACTGTGAGCTTTATTAGTGCTTGTTAAAAGACCAGCGCTATGTAGAAGTCTGTGCTCTGCAGCTCAAACTCAAAATAACACCATGTGTTTGGAGGCTTGTTCCCCACTCCCCAAGTTAACTTCTCCTTTTCATCCCTTGGCTTTGATCCTAACAGTTTATTTTGGCCTGAGTAGTTGTTCTATCTTGTCATATGGTAATGCTTTCTAGTGGTTTACACTTCATGGTGAGAAAGTGCACACCAAACATTCGTTTGCCCAGAGGTTACTAGATAAACAACTACTCATCCCTTTCTCTCATGATTTATCTTTTCATTAGGGTATGAATAGTAAATGACACACTTTGAAAAGTTAATCTCATAAATAGTCAGCCACTTGGTACAATTAATTCTCTCATTTAACAAAAATGTCTAAGGACATTTAGCACATGCCAGTATTGCGCTAAGCTTGGGAGATATAAAGATGAGTACAGTAGGTGTTTCAGCCTTTAAGCAATGCCTAGGTTAATAAAGTGGGCTGGAATGTAAATAAGTAATTGTCATAAATATAATAAATTCTCCAGTAGAGGGAACAGTGGCTTTGCAGGCAAAATGGTGAGGAACTTGGCTGTCAGTGATTGGAGAGATAAGAAAAAGCTCTCAATGCCACAAACTTCTCCCCTACAGACCAATCATAGTGACTAGATGCTTTAGCCATTCCTAATCGAGTTTGAAAAATATCTGCTTAAATAGAGTTAATGCAATGAATTCCATTTTAGGGAATGACTTCACAAAATTAGTTTCCCTTTAGTCCTCTAGCAAACAATGGAGAGAGGAGCAGGAGCAGCAGACAGAGACATTCAATGATGAGTTTCATGAGATGGAGCATACTTGAATACAACTCAGGGAGCCAAGTGGCTCTGGATGGGTAATGAACACCTGGGTCTTCAATTCATGGAGATGAACACTCAAAGGTAATAATGTGCATCCCAAAAGGATTGCAGCTGCCAGGGTAGGTTAGAGGAAGTGAATGCAAACTCTGATCATTTAATAACATTCCTGAGAGCAAAGCAGTCTGCCATGTAATGATTTTGGTTATTTAAAGGTTCCATTTCAATCAGCATTTATACACCTGGGATTTCTTGAGTTTCTCTTTCTCTCTCTCTATCATACACACACACACACACACACACACACACACCCCACTCTTGGGTGTTCTGGTCAAGGCACAAGTTATGCAAACACACAAAAGTTAACTAACAAACTGGAAAATCAGCAGTATTAGAATACTCCACAACTGAATCATTATCAGATTATCAGTCAGGTTTTATGCCACTTTATAATTCAGGGGAAGCAACTAGCGTGCAGTGGTTTAGAATTTCCAAGAAGAGGTAGATAAAGAAGGCTTTGTAACTAGAGAAATCTGCATACCCTTCATGCTTTTCTTCCTCAATATAAATTAAAGAGAGAGAAACACAAAAACAAAAACATAACTGACTTATAAGAGGAATATGGATAGATGCATTAACTATTGAGAAGATAGCCAGTGCATTAGCTAAATTTACCTATTATAGTGCCCTTTGCTGCTTGGCAAGTCATTCGTTTGTTTATTGCAAAGGGACGTTTCCATGTGCCCCTTTCTCTTAACCAACACTAAAATAAAGCGTGCCAGATAAAGGACAGGACCAAGGACAGCTGACATGACTATTCCTGCCGCGTACTACTAAATCAGAATTGCTGACACTGAATACGAGTAACAGATGGTGGGGCCGAAAGCTAGTGAGGCAAGTGATTTGCTCAAAGTCGTAAGAATTTCAGCATCAGAACAAGAAAAAAACCCCAGAAAGACCTTGAAGCTAAATGCTATTGTTTACATATGTTGTCTCATTGAGAAAGGAAGTCCCAATCAACTGTAGAATAATTATACTGTGTCCATTCTTTATTAGATTCAATTATGGAAATGATAGTTTTGTTGGAGGAGAGGCAAGTAGCCCATTTCATCTGCCTCTACTGTATGAAGGGTGAGGGGTATATAGGAATACTAGAAGGGAGTAAATGCTTTGAGTACCAATGTGCTATTCTAAGCTATTGAACTGTATTCTCTAGGCATTTGACATATGAATATGTGTGCAAGGGGGTCAGTCTGGTCAACATTATAGGTGGATTTCCTTGACATCAGTGTACAGAATGAATTGAGCAGAGTGTGAAAGGAGAAGAAAGGGCAGGGAGTTTGAACTCAGCGAAAATAAGTTATGAACCTGTTTCTGTCATGGAAGTCAAATATAAGAAGAGGCTGAACTAACTAAATCTAGGACTTTGAGGGTGATGATGCCCCCTGTGAAGACAGAGAGTAGTCATTATCTTTGTTTACTGAGGATGAGAAAGATATCTTTCTAGAAATACTGAAGTTGAGATGCAAGAAGGGTCTCCAGTGGAAACATCTAGGGGGCAGTCTGATTCACTTCTGCAGCTCAGAGGGCATATTGGGTCTAGAGTAACAGACTTGGCAGTCACCCATAGAAATGTGATAAATAGGCTATAACAATGAGTGAATTTTCAAAGGAGAGTTGAAGAGAGAAGAGAAGTGAGTTGGGAACAGAATTATTGGGAACGGTTTCATTTAAAAACTTGGTGAATGAACCACAAAAGAAAAAAATGATATATTGGACTCCATCTAAATTAGAAACTCATGTTCTTTGAAAGGTACTGTTAAGAAAATAAAAAGACAAGTCACAGACCAGGGGAAAATATTCACAGAACACATCTCTGATAAAAGGCTTGCATCCAGAATATATCAGGAATTTTAAACTCAATAATAAGAAACAACTTGATCAAAAAAATTAGCAAGAAGTTTGAACCGATGTTTCAGCAAAGATGCACAGATACTTTATTGTTTATTATGCATGGAAAGATCATCTTCTCTACTGGTGGGTGCTTATAGACAATGGACTGGAAACATCATTAACTCAAAATAATAATATAATAACCATAATAGCATATCCTTATGTAATGTTTACCACTTGCCCCATACTGTTTTGTGCACTGTACAAATGTTAACTCAAAGAGTTAATAAAGTAGGGGCTTAATAAACCATTTTACAAATGAAGAAAGTGAGGCACAGAAAGGTAATTTGCCCAAGGTCACCCAGCTAGCAAGGGCTGAGCCCAGATTTAAACACAAGGAATCCATGCTCTTGGCTATGACACTTTACTGTCTCTCACATGACAAATAAGTACTCACTGAGGATCTACTCTATGCCCAGCACTTGGTAATACAGTGTAGAGTCATAAGGAATTGACTAAACATAATTCTTTTCCTAGAGGAGCCTAAAATCTAGAGAGACAAGCTTCTGTGCACCAAATGCTTGACAGCATCTAATCATAATCCAAACTGTGCAATTAAAATATAGACGATAAACACACAGAACATCACCTTCTTATTTGAAGGTCAGGGTCTGACAGTGACAACTGGAGGATATTGAAAGCCTCTGAAAACTATAGTTTAGAAACTCTTCAGATTAAAGCAAAGACCCCAAAACCTTAAAAGAATTCAAATAAGGAGGAAGAGTTCAAATATTATGGAAAAATAATCTATAATCTTTTATACTGCCACAATTATCAGCAAAATATTTGTTGAGTATCTCTTCGATGCTTGACAGGGTCCTTGTGTTTTAAGCAGTTTCTAATAACCTAGTGTAAACAAGGATGATACATGTCCTAACACGACAATGACCCAATGAAAATATCTCCTCATGGTAGACTCGCTCCCTTGATGAGTGAGCTGAAGTAATTCCTGTTAGCCAGGTATTATCTCGACAACACTAAAAACCCATTCATAAGAGCCTTGGGTTTCCGTCTTTATTTTTCTCTCCTTCTAAACTGGTAACATCTCTTTACCCAGAGTGAGAACTGTGCAAGATGACGGTGATAAAGAGCTAGGAGGTCAGCAACAAAAAGAACATTTCTGAATTAATTGATTAGAACAAAAAATAGTGACTTTGAAGCTGTAAACACAGAAGTCAGCCTGTAAGTATACTATCTTCCACTAAATCTCAGATTCACTCCTTCAAGCAGCCCAGCCTGGAAGGTAGCCAAGCATGTGTGCCTCTAACAACTGCGACTGGGGTGG